CGCTCTACGGCAGTGAGTGTTGGCCCGTAAGTAAATCCCATGAAGGACAGCTCCACTCCGCTGAAATGAGAATGCTCGGAGGGGCCTGCGGCTGGGCGCGGCTGGATCTGGTCAGAAGTAAAGACGTCAGGACGGCTACGCAAACAGCCCAGTTCAACTGAAGATGGGAGAGCAGCGCCTGCGATGGCTCGGGCATGTACTAAAAAGACCACAGAGCCATCCGATAAGGGAGGCAATGGAGTTCGAGGCTCAAGGTAAGCGACCACGAGGAGCCCCAAAGGAGAGATGGCGCGACGTGATCAAGAAGACATCGCCGAAGCCAAGGTGACGGCAGAAGATGCCGTAGATATTGGGTTGTAACATAAGTTCGTAGAGTTTTGTGTTAGGGTCATTTTACAACGATTCGCTTTATTTTTTGGCGAAGTGTACATATTCATTCGAAAGAGCTCTTTCTCCTCTACAAAACTGTTTCATTCGTTTTTAGGATAATCAAAATGTTCGTCTTTTTTCGGGCTCAGAATTGGAATATCCAGGAGGAGAAAATCAGCATTTTTGACATCTGCTTTTCATCGAGGTCAATAAGCAGCCGAAGCCGCTCGGGACATATGCAGTGTGTACGAGGAAGGTGTCTTAGGTGTGTCTCTGGGTGGCCCCAGGAGAGACACCGAAGCCGAGAGTCAAGCAAGACCTTCACTCAAAATAGGTCATGATTTGCGTTTGGCGAGACTGGAAAGGCACGGTGCACTGGGAATGCTCGAACGAAATGCTACTGTCAACAAGGAGGTCTACATTGCCCAGCTAAGCCGTGTTAGTGAGGCTATACGGCCGAAAAGACCCGATAGACAAGGTGAAGTCATCTTGCTCCACGACTACGCCAGGCACCATAATGCCCAAGTCGTCAAAACAGCACTTCAAAAGCCTGAATGAGAGGTTCTTCAACATCCACCGTACTCTCCGGATCTTGCACCTACCAACTACCACCTTTCCGCTCTCTGTCAAACCAAATGAGGAGTGTTACCTTCGATGGCGAAGAGGTTCTTGAAAACTGGCTCAACAACTTCTTCGACACCAGACCGGCCGATTTTTGGCGAAACTGCATCAACAAATTGGTCGAGAGATTGGAGGAGGTCGCAAACAGTAACAGGAGGACACATCATTGATTAATTTATTATTATAATTCTTGTTTTTTGCTAAAATAAATCTCTGCGAAAAAACTCTACGAACTTATGTTACAACCCAATAGAATGAAATAGAGACGGCTGACAAGAACAGCGGACCCTGCGATGGCGCGGGATCAACGCTAGGGAGAAGAAGAAGAAGATATCAGGGAACTTATGGTATCACTACCTTGATTGTGATACCATAAGTTCCCTGATACATCCTCGAGCCTAGGATGAGAAGCGTTGATTTAAGATGTGCACAAACCCTTAGAAAGAGCTCCGAGGACGAATACTTGACGCAAGTCACATGAGTTTCAGCAGCCAAGCTGCAAAATCGAACTCGTAAAGGTGTACGTGTTGAATATGGTGGACAGTTTCGCTACTATAATAGCTGTACTCACTTCACTTTGATACTTCGATAGTCCATGGGCAGGAGGGATCCAGCAGAGACCACGGCCCTTCCATAATCTTTCGCGACTTTCATCCAGCGTAAGCTTAGTCATTTTTTCTGAAATATTAGTAGAACGAAACGATCTACCGAGTTGGCGGATATCCTAACGGTATTATTCTGTTTCTCGGAAGCTACTCTATGACTACGAGACTTCATGTCATTTTGGTGTGTCTGTTTGCTTGTCAGTAACAAATTTCGGCATTACTTGAAGAAATACCTATAGAGGTCGTGTAGTGTTTGAGACAGGTGAGACTTAGGAGATGATTAACGGAGCACATTTGAACTCGGCAAAACCCACACCTCTTACCGAGCACGGGACATGCACCGGAGTGGGTAGTGTCAAGAACCAAAATTCGTTTTTATTTACTTCCAAAGTCCGGACATCGCAAAAAATGGGCAGAAGTCAGAAATGGGTCAACAAATCAGACGAAGTACAATCAGCAGTGAAGGGCGGGGCATTTTGTTTAATCTATTAAGTTGTTCGGGAAGGAATGCGCGTTTGAGCCCAAAAATTTTTATTATAAAAACGAAATTAAACAAGGTCAATCCAGAAAATATTCTCCATCGCAATCGATAACTTGTTGCCAACGTGTACGCAACAAATAGATTCCTCTTCTGAAAAACTCGGCCGGCTGCGAGTCGAAGTAGTTGGACACCCAGAGTTGGACTTCTTCGCGATTTTTGAATTTTCTCTCGGCTAAGGAGTGCTGCATCGACGGGAATGGAGGGTATTCGGATGGTGCGAAGTTTGGGCTGTATGGCGGATGAGGCAGTACTTCCCAGCCAAATTCCTAATTTTTTCCAAGGTGGTCTTCGCGAGATGTGGACGAGCATTGTCGTGGAGGAATTTTGTCGACGTCGTTTCGACACCTTGACGACGAAGTGCTTGATCGACGCGGTTCAACTGATCTTTGTAAATATCCGCCGTAACCTTTTGGCCCGAATCCAGGACTTCCAAGTACACTAAACCTTTGCTGTCCCGCCAAACACAGAGCATAACCTTTTTGCCGTATATATCCGATTTCGGAGTGGGTTTTGGAGTGTCACGGGCGTCTAACCACTGTCTTTTTCGTGTTGTGTTGTCGAAACAGATCCATTTTTTATCAGAAGTAACAATAGAATTGAAAAAAACCACTGTTCTTGGAGCGACGAAGAAGGATTCCTGCCATTGCCATTCGTGTTGCCTGGTTTGCGTCGCTCAACTAGTGCGGTACCCGTTTTCCGCACCTGCTTTTCTTACCAATCGCCAGCAAATACTGATGGTAGAGTTTGAGCAGCCAAAGCGTACTGTCACCTCTCGGGTGGTTTGATGTGGATCCGAATTAATGACGTCCTTCAACACTTGGTTATCGACGACTTGAGGCCGACTTCCATGTTCTTCGTCCTCCAAGCTTTCATTACCTTTTTCGAAGCGCTGGAACCACCATCGACACTGGCTTTTTGAAAAGGCTTCATCGCCGAATGCTTCAGAGATGTATTGTAGGATGATCAAGTTGGTTTCGAAGATATTGTGGGGGGTGGAGATGTTTGATCGGGTAATCTCATAAACTGATTCCATCTTTTTAGGCTCCGACGAGTGGACCGAAACGTTAGCCATTAAGGTATTGTTAACCTCGTGTGGATTTATACAAATAAAGTTTTTCGAAAATATGCCAAGGTTCATCGAGCCGCACGTGATGATTGATCCGCAATGTGCCAACTCAACACCAGCGGCTCGTCATGGATGTGTTATCGCTAAGGCAGAAGATTTTCCTAGCTCGAGAATCTACTCACTTCCTCAAGCGCTGTCTGGAGCACCGTCTGATCCCGAATTTTATTGCAAAAAACGACTTCGGGACTTATTTGATAGCCGGGAGAGCGACCGAAAAGTAGCGGACATCGAGCTGCAGCTTCTACGTACACATTGCGTTCTAGACGTGATCGTGTGTATGGAATGTTGAAGAAGTGTGTGGCAAAAGAATAGCATTGTACCGAACTTTTGGAGGATCACCTCTGAAGGAGAATAGTAGGCGGGTCTAAATCGAATTGTGGTCTTATTCGATCTAATATCAAAGCTAACCTGCAAAAGAAATTTGATAATCTCCTTGTTTCAACACGCAATCCTTCAAGGGATACTTTCGTACCGACACCGACCATGATGCAGTCAATCGAGCAAGCGATGTGGTAGAACGAACGGATGCATCTTGTTCAAGAATCACAGTGCTAGGGGACTTTCCTCTGTCTGACTGCGCGCGGTCTGTTCTGGAATTGGATCCCAGCTTTTCACCATCACAACCCATTTCTACTTTCGTCATGCGCAAGGTCCTATGTAGTTTGCATGAACTCCGAGATCGCCTTCGTTATAGAGCCAAGGTTGATGGGGAGCTTCAGCCACGACAAACGCAAGGGCCGCGCTTAATGTACCTTTTCCGCAGGTACACTTTAAACAGCAAGAACCTGATATCGTTTCAGACATCAGTTTCCGAATATTTGCCGACGAAATCTTCAAGGTTTTCAGCAGGTTCCAAAAACAGCGCTTATCGCCTAACATCTCTAGGGCGCAGGCCGAGGGAATCAGGGAACTTCAAGGCTTAGTTAAATCGCACACTATCAGGTTGTCGGTCAGTGACAAGAGCGGTGAGTTCGTAGTCATTCCTAATCAATCGACCGCGCCATAACCGACCGCCACCTCGAAGATAGCTCTCTGTACCAGCAGTGCTCGATCAAAGAATTCCAGGCACAATTCCGAAGGCTGAACCGACAATGGATGACCTAGCAAATTCGGCAAGTCTTGACTCTAACTTGATAGCGCGACTCAAGGTTGAATCGCCTCGCTGCCCAGTATTGTACCTGCTCATCAAAACCCACAAATTTTCCCCTACGGACAACTTGGCGTCAATAACACCCTNTTTGACCTATTGAATGCACAATCTGAGCGGATAAAAGTTACTCGAGAAAAGTCCCACGAAGAGTGGCTGTCTTTCCTTAATGTCCAAGTAAGAATTTCTAGGGGCGACTATTCCACGAAGTGGTATAGAAAGCACAGCAATAAAAACATCCTTGTTCATTGGAATTCTGCACACCCTCTCCAAACGAAACGAGCAGTGGTAAGAAGTAAGTTTCGAATTGCTGCAGAAGATAGCTCTGGAGAGAAGGAATGAAAAGAGTCTGCGAACATAGCTCGAAATACTGCTGAGCTTAATGGCTACAAACTTCCTCCATTTCGAAAGGTCAAAGCAGGTAAAGAGTCAAGCAGGACAAATGGTGATTTATTTAGTACGAAGATCCCATTTGCTGTGCCGTTCATCTCCGATGAAGTATGCACTTCCATAAGGAAGTGTCTGAGGAGAGCGGGTCTTCAAAACATTGTTGGTATCGTCGAAATCGCTCCTGACAATTGAAAGCGCCGTTTAGTCCGTAACCGCATGTACGATCGCACATGTGCAACACCTAATTGTGTGGTCTGTCCTAATGGCAGAGAAGGTGACTGTAGCGCATTTGGTGTGGTCTACAAAATCACTTGCCAAAACTGTGGAGGTACGTATATAGGTGAGACTGCTAGACCACTCCATGTTCGAATCAAAGAACATTTAAACGATAAGGCTAGGTCACTCCCCTTAACTGCATAAGGTTGCCACAGGGCACAAACTCACAATGGAGACGACTTCGGGGTCATGGTCGAGGTCCTGGCGCATTAGGCACAAACAGTCGCGAGGAAGACCCTAGAGGCATTTTGGATCCGGGTCACGGATCCAAAAATGAACCGGAAGGGGGAATGCATGTCAATCACGCGCGAACTCACCCCCTATATAAGGCTAGCCTTTCACTGTGAATTTTGAACTCGAGACAGCCAGTCTGCATCGCTCAGGGCCGGTTCTGCTCTCCAGGAAGGTACGGTACTTTTTATCCACCTAGAATTGTAGGATGATCAAGTAGGTTTCGAAGATATTGTGGGGGGTGGAGATGTTTGATCGGGTGATCTCATAAACTGATTTCATCCTTTTAGGCTCCGACGAAGGTGGTTTCACCGAAACGTTAGCCATTAAGGTATTGTAAACCTCGTGTGGATTTATACAAATAAAGTTTTTCGAAAATATGCCGAGGTTCATCGAGAGCCGCACGTGGAGACTTCAGAGATGGTACGATGAGATTCAGCAGCCGATTTTCCTTGCATGAAGTCGTACCACATGCAAGCTGGCAAAAGCAATTTCTGGTCAAGCATCTCCTAAACTTTTTTTCTTCAGAAAAAAAAACAAAGTAGACATGGCCAAAAATATATCATAAGAAGCGCAATGAAAACTGTTCCTAATAGACGAAACTGTTTTGAAACATCTCCTATAGTAGGGGAGTAATAAATGGACGAAGTTACGCGCATTCCTTTCCGAACAACCTAATACAATATTATTTCACAACTCACTTAAACAGAGCCTCGAGGTCAGAAAAAATTGGATTGAGCAAAATTTGGAGTGTGCTACAACGCTTTGCCCATGTACCTACGGCGGTGGGGAGGGAAAGGGGAGGGGGTGGGGGCTTTTGAATAGAATGTTTTTCGAAATAAATTCATAGCTTTGTTCAGGAACAGTCTGAAAGGAAAAAGTGGTTGGATCTTACTCAAGGAGAAGTTGACTTGTTCGGTGTTTGCTTCGGGGTGGACGGGGCTACAATCAAAAGACGATAAATCTGCTCAGAAGCATCCCAGAATTTTTATTGTGAATATATAATCCGAAATCGACAATCCTATCTAGAAGCCTTTCAGACCATGCATCCTTGAGTCACAGCTTTGTTCCTTCTAGACATGAAGCATTCACGTTTCTTAGCTGCTGAGAGTGGCCGATGCACGGATCCGCTATATAAACCTGTGTAATTGACCGATCAGTCGCAACTTTGCTTCCTCGCAAGCTCAGCTTTCAGAATAAAAGAGTAACTAGTGGCAGCCTCATATCGAGTAGGTCTCAGTAGGACATTACAACTTTAACATAATAAGAAGGAAGGCCCGCCTTAAGTAGGGCGATCTTATAGTTAGTGGTGTGGTCAATGGCTGCTTTCATAGTCCGCCGGCCGGCCGGACTATGAAAGCAGCCAATTAAGCAAAGAAGAGATAGCAAACAAACGCTAAACTATTCGTAACTGATAGCGTCCATACATAAGGACCTCTTGGGAGTTTCCAAAAAATAGAAACCTGGATTACCGCAAAATTCACGGCTGGTGCATTCCGTACGACCTATTATCATTTTTCTCTCAAATGAACATTGGCAGGGCAGCTATACATTCCGGCTTTGTCAAAGTAATGAAAGGAGCCCTGGCAAGGCGGGACATCCGAATGGTGTAATACAAATGCATAAAACTGGTCCCGCTCATTTAATTTGCCTTTTATCTTCACTGTGGTGGCCTTCCGGTTTAAGTGCCCCGACCCCCGGTTCATCACACAGCACAATCAATGTCCTCTTCCTTAAAGCACGTATGCTCTTTTCCTCTGCTGAAAGGGCCCTCGAAAAACCTACCGACTTTCGACGGAGGTTCAAAGGAGTGAAGAGAAGGTGAAAGCTGAGAATTCACCTTCGTGACATCACGTCTACATGCGATCACAATTCTTCTTCTATGAGTATGCGGCAGCTCGAAGACACAGTTCACGAAAAAAGTGCTTGTGAGATATCCTATGGGATAAATTTGTAACACTATCGTGTACCATATGTGGTACTGTAAGTTCGGAAAGTGGCCTAGATGGGACTTATAAAGGCTTGAAGATTGTTCCGTGTATATCCCCGGACGAGTTTCACCGGCCTTGTAGAGGCTGCACCAATCACCAGAGAACCTACGTAGGAAGTTCAAACAACTTGTCATGGCAGTGGCACTGAAAAAATGAACGTTACCTCATCATCACTGAATCGTATGCACTGAGAAGGGGAGCAGATGAAACTCTGAAGACGTTTATGAACCGTTACCGTTGAGCGTTAATTGAAGCGCGTTTTAATTTGCATGCTTTCTTTTATGAGACTGGCAAACGAAGAACGGCAGGCTTCTCTTTTCAGTTAACACCTAGACGCAGCACCTTCTCAGCTGCCCTTATGAACGACTTCTAGACTTTTGCAGCATCATTTAAAAGTTGCAGCAAAAACGAAGTGGACGTCAAGCTGAAAGAAAAAAAATGCAGAACTCGAAAAGCCAACAAGATCAAGTCGCCAACACAGGGATTAAAGTCAATTTGATTAAAGCACTTGTCAGTTTTATTTTCGGGAGCGCAAGAGATCTTTAACATGAATGGGCTTGCGCAGAGAACAAATCGAATCACCCAACGCAGCTCTTTGGTGAAGTCTTTTTTATTTGAGTTCGAGCCACGTACAGATATATTACAATCGTATTTGCAACAGCGAGGAATCCAAAGCCTGATTCCAAAATGCTATAACTGCGACAAATAGAAAAGGGTGAAGCGACCATGTGATCCTCGGGCACGAGGAAGAAGCACATGAATCACATGGCAGAGGCACGTGAATTCCGCCCAAAAAGAGAGATTCGAATTCAACATTTTTATTGATCCTCATCAAGATCATTGTAATGATAGGAATGAAAGGAATAAAATCGCTACGGACAAAAAGGGGTTTGACACGCCGCGTTGGAAAAGTACCCAGTTTGGGAATAACATGGTCACTTCACACTTCTCTATTTGTCGCGCTGACAGCATTTTGAAATCAAGCTTTGGTTTTCTCGCTGTTGGAAGCACGACAGTCTAATTAATAATTGCTACATCTTCTGAGAGCGATCACCCTAAGCAGTTACATATCCAGTGGTAGAGTTTCATCGGAATAAAGGTCAGAAGACGGGGTGAAGCTCATGTCAATTTGAGATAAAGCAAAGAGAGAGAGGAGCTGCAACCACTTGATTTGAACTTGGAAAAGCTCCTCAGGAAAGATCACTTTTCCTTTGAGACCATCGTCGGTGATTTCAACGCCAAGATTAGCTACAGAAGTTCATATCGGCACTCATGGAATGAAATGAATAGGTAAAGGACTTTTTGTGCTTATCACAATCTATCTTCACGACTTTGGGGAGTTCCTTCATCTACGACATCGGGGGAATATGTACTGCGCGCTATCAATCGTGTCATACGAGCAAAACCTCTCTATCGCATTCGCACCTCATATTTGGACGATAACTCTTATCATATTATGCCATCTCGAAGTTTTGCAACATTTTGCTCTGCGCTGTCTACACTCTTCACATTTTAGAATTTTTATCACCACTAGTTTTGACAATAAGGTTGAGTTTTGATGCCATCTACTACACCTGCCGTACGTAGTCATATAATTCCAAATTGATCACTGACGGGTTAATAGCACATGAGAATCAGTTAACGCTAAGAACGAAACTGAACTTCTGTTGGACACAAGAACGTTAGGTTATGAAAGATTGATGAAAAAGGATCTGTGGGTTGGCAGGCTAATAAGACAGATATTGAAGGGAAATGATTGCAAAGCGTTTAACGATTAAAATTATTGGGTGATAGGTGGTGAGGAGCATGAGGAGACAGGCGCGCCAGGTGCATGATGAATTGGTTGCAGTAGTCTGGTGATGTCGCACATCGTAAAGCTCCCATGATCATTCAAAAGAATGTGCTTCTGACGTTCCGGAATCAACACGAAGTCATGCGCCACACGACCATCTTTCAGTCCTTTCAACTTTATGGCAATTCATGGGGAGTTGCAACTTCTGTCTTCTAATTGATATTCATTTTCATCAAGATTCATACTTTGTATGATCGTAACTGTATGCGGTACAACTACTACAATTCTGATTTGAATTCTTATCCGATGGCGCATCCCTTTGAAACGAATATTTCCAAAGCTAGAAGACCTTTTATTCTCCATTTTTTAATAAGGATTAGATGTCGCAGCAGTGTTGACTGCAGTGAAGATTGGTTTCATTGCGATCCTTACCGCAGATGAGATGTACCATCAGATTTTGACAAACAAATCCAATTCAACGAAAATGCTATGTAGATAGAATATGAGCTAATAGTGAATGTGCTCATTTCCCAGACATCCTACATACACACATACATATAATAAATATACAAACAAACAAACAAACATACATACACACATACATACATACATACATACATACATACATACAGTTTTTTAAGAATTCAGTTTTGATTTCCACCACCTATGTGATAACTTGGGCAACGCTCTAATATTACATGCCATCACGTGCCAAGGACAACATTAGAAAAATCCTTACGTAAGAACGGCGCTAACACAGTCATATTCGTGACTGCAATCTTTCACTAAAAGTGAAGGTAAATCAATCCTAACACAACACTTCCCGATGTAAGCGAATCTTTCTTGCAGAGAGCGCTCGAATTCGCACACGGCGACGCCTCATACCTTTCGTATCTGAGCACTTTTCCAGGTAAAGTAGTCCAGATGGAGCGAACCTTGATATCCCTTATTTCTGCCATTCTATTCTCTGCATTAAAGTTTGCATGAATAAGAAATTTTTGATAGGTAGACTTTGTGAATTGAAAATCGGTACCAGAGGAACAGCTCAAAAGAGTTCAATCCAAGCCGTCTATGTGTCATTGAAGCTGAAGTGGAATTAGCACGACATCAAGCGTCCAAGTGAATAATCTTTATTCACACTGTATAAAGTGTGAGAATATCAAGAGAGACCATTTAAAAGTTTACACTCCGTACGTGGGTTCACAAAGTCTTTTCGCTGTGATCAATCAAAGTGTGAAACAACGTTGTTAATTTGAAAGCGTCTCATTAAACAATCATAGCCCACTCTTGGAAGATTCATGATACATTCGTTTAATACCCGTACGTGAAAGAACAAATAAAGAGTCCACTCATTCAACTCCCATTCTAGCTAACTCTGACTTGAATGCATTCAAATCTCGTCTATCCAAGGCAGGCAAGAGTTCCTCACGAGCACCGCGCATCCGTATTGCCGCAGAACGCAGTGTTGGCCATATGGATGAGCTTTGTTCGCCGCCTTTCTGTAACTCCAAAGCAGAAACGAAGTGCTCAACAGCCTCCCTGAAAAGAGCATTTGCTAGCGAAAATCTTCCAGAGCAGTTGAATCCTTTCCCAAGTGCTCAGATTATATCGTGCTGGAACTAAGAAACCGGAAGTTGGCAAAACTGCTTTACTCCCCGCATTCCCCTTCACATTGATCAATATGCGGCCCGCCTTTTGTTTGGCATACAGCGGGTACTATTTTTTGGATCTTATTATGCCCTATCTATGGTATCTCCGCAGGCCTAGTAATACTAGGTGACATCCCGAAAACCACATCTATTGTTGACAAGGCCTCTGATTAATGCTGAAAGCCGCTTGACAAATGTACAACTAGCATCCAGGAGAACTGAGCAATAGAATAACTCATCACCCCCATCTTCCTAGAGGAAAGTGCCTTTGCGGAGATTGTACACAACTCGCCATCCGAACATGGAGCCTCTCTCGACCTCTAAAATATCAAACGCTATATCATCTTACAAAAAAGTTCGAGTGGCCCTCAATTGCGTGATAGGTCCGAATTTGAATTTGCTCGTTGACTCCGCTGTTTCAAATGAGGAGTTGAAACAATTCAGGGTGTCCCCAAATTATGGGCACCAATTCATGGCAATGTACCTAAAGCTTCTCAGCTGAAAATAACAAAGNAATCTATATACACGCTTGCATACACCATGTGCTAAAAAATGCTCTAGTCACATATCAAAGTATCCCCCATGAGCGTGGATACGGGCCTATAGTTTGCTCTCGAACACCTCGCATGTTGCACACAGGTATCCTCTTCATTTCTTCCCAGCCTCTCTTTAGCCTTGCTTTCAAGGACTCCAAACGGGGACTGCAGACTCTACATGTCCCTCTCCAATCAGTGACTTTATGGAAGGGTCAATGAGTTGAGATTTGTAAAGCAGGATGGTAATTTTCTTCGCTAGTGAAGTCGCGCAGCTAACGTTGTTACCACACCTGGGTGGGCTTGGCTCTGTGGGCTGGAGTACCGTCCTTTTTCTTGTTTAGCGCAACTAGACTTGGAGAATTTCGTTTTTATTCATGGTTTACAGCAGAGTATCTGGCTAGGGACTAAAAAAATCTCAAGCTCCTGTACAATATCGTTTCCCATCTCAACTAGACGGGAACTGAGTGAGTTACAGGTGTGGTGAAATTTTTTTAAACGTCGTTCGCATAGTGAGGAGCTTTTTTGTTGCAAACACTCCGTGATGAATTATCATATCTGTACATGAAATACTCACCTATGTTCTGGCAGGATTTTCTCATAAAACTTCACTTGAAATGTACCAGCTCATTCCTACCCATAGCTAGGGCATTGCTCCATCCAGAAAGCGTTATAGTTGGATAAGTCATTAGACCACCCCCTGTTGAAAGCGCATGAAGCTAAGTGCCCGGAGTAGAATGGTGTACGTGCACTCCTATTTGGTCTGTGCAAACAATGAAGAAATTTACTTGTATAAGCACTTCTAAACACGAAGGAGGGCTATGGGTAGTATATGTGATGCGTAAAAGAGTTTTGCAATCGTTTTGGACATCGTATGCATTATGAATTTGAACCTTCGTGTCACGTCTACCATTCTGCCTTCCTCCCGACTGCGCTAACAATGCACCTTTGACTGTTGCTCGGCTCGCTTATAAAAGCAAATCAGTGGCATGACACCTGAGGAAATGGACCCTTAAGTTTGTTTTCAGAATCGTTTCGCAGATTTGAAACACCGATTTGAGATCAGCGTTTGGAAGAACTTATTTTGGTATACATCTTATCTTGAATGGTCACTGCTACCTAGTATCCTTCCCCAGATTAGTACAATATTAGTCACGTACCCCTTGGGCTGAGAAGAAGCCTTATCCCACCCATTTAGACCTAGAAAATATTATCCAATCCTTCTTAGCATAGATGCCAATGATTTTATAACAGAGTTTCTGAACAACAAACCATGCCTAGACAATATGCTGTAATAATGATAATAATGGTACTGATATTATGTGGAAAAAGCTTCAGAGGAAAAATAGTGAAGTGAAATCAGAAAACTGCAAGGGTGGGCCAAGGGTAATGTGACAACTTGAAAGCCAACTAATCATTCGGTAATCATCTATCCATAACCACTCTGCCTCCTGCAGAAAAATGCAGCCGACCTCACTAAGGACAAATGATTCTTACTCACCTATAGCTGTTGAGGTGCAAACAACTGATGCCAAGATTGTACCGAGCCCTTACGTAGAGCGGATATCGCTTCAACGCTTCTCTGTAGGCTACTACTGCCTCCGGAGTACGATCACCGTTAGCCAGCGTCGCGCCGAGGCGATTCCACAATCGCGCATCCTTAAGAATGAAGGAAGAATGAGATAATTGTGATTCACGAGCAAGGCTCATCTGATGAGCGCTAGAAACTGAATAAAGTCAGTAGGCCCTACTATAGCATACTAGAACATGGGACTCACTTCTGGTCTACTTGCTATGGCAAGCCTTATGCACTCCACAGCCCGTTCATAATTTCTGCTCAAATTGTACAATACTCCAAGAGCATTCTGAAGATCCGCATCCGCAGTGCCAGCCTGCTGCCGTGCTGCTCTCAGAAACCGTTCTTCTACCTTAAAATGACTTATCGAATAAATCGGACTAGTGCTTCCTAGGTACCACGATAAAAACGGCAACATCGCAGAGGTGCAATGATCATTAGAACGATCGTTCCGGGTATAAAGGAGACTCAACACGGTATCGGAAATGTAATTTCCTGTTCAACTCTTACGTCCCAAGTAGGACACGAACTGATCCGGGTCTGCATGTATTTTGTAGGAGAAAAAGAAGATTATCGTGCCTGTTTGAAGGTGTCGTGATCGAGGAACGAACTGTAGCCTGCGTGCGCTTTCTGAACCGTAGCTGGATCGCCGCCTTGATGTGCTACCAACCATTTCTCCAGTTGATTCAATGCTTCATTATCAACAGATTCGTTGGCTAGCGATACAGACAATGCAAGCAGAGCCTGAAGAGTGTTGTCCTTTCTATCACGAAATAGCCACAAAGGACCAATCACGCAGAAAAAGGACCACACATAACCATATAGGAGAAATATCAATGCGTTGTAGACGTATGAATTAAACATTATTANATTACTCGGACCTCCTCGTTGTTCGGTTGAATAGTGAGGCACTTGTTGAATGCTACGATTGCCTTCGCGTCGTGTTCGTTTTCAGCATGTGACAGCCCCAGCCGACACCACGCCTGAAATTGCGTAAATAATTCTATAATCGATCTCTATAAAAAATTCGGAACATAGTTAACGAGACGCTTCAGTAAGAAAATGCTTAAAGACAAGCGTTTTGCGAGTAGTAACTGCAAGGCCTCTAACTCGAAACCAACAACTTCAAAATTTGAATGAATCTGTTGACATAAAGGACAAGAGTTTTTTATACATATATCACCTACTAATCGAAGGAATGGACTTCATTTGATCGAAAGATTTCATATGCTGAGTCTGTGGAAAGCTAAACGTGTCTTATCAAACACCAACAGGTTTCTCCCTCAACTTCTACACACGGCTCATCACTCTGCACTTCGGCGACTATCCAGCGAATGATGTCGCTGTCGATGTGAGTAATATCATGCACGATTGTTCCTTTCAGCTACCCAATAGTTGTCGTATTGTTCACATAAATCTTGCCGTATATTTCTCCCCAAAGAAAAAAAAATCATTTGCGGTTTCAAAATGCTACTTCGAGTGTAACACTGCGTACTTTGGATGATTGTTACTGAGCTTCCTTTTGCATTAAACTAACTACATAAATTGCCAAGGGCTGATGTAGAATCATAAGCAAATGACAGCACCTCACTCTCTCTTATGTATAATTCTAAAGAAGAGCACGTAATGCACGTGCTCCTCTTTAGAATTATAAGCATAAGAGAGAGTCAGGTGCTGTCATTTCATACAAGCTTATGCAGTGTTTGACTGCGAGTTTTCCGCGTTTAGTTCTACATAGGCTGCTTTCATAGTCCGGCCAGTCCACGCCCCTTCGAAGGTTGCTTGTTTTCAACCCCTCGAAGGGGCGTGGACTGTTTGCCTTAAACTGTCTGCCTCCCTCCTCCCCCCCTAGCACTGCCTCCGCCGGCACGCACGCCGGCGCGCCGGCCGGCCGGCTGGCCGGCGGACTATGGAAGCAGCCATAGAACGACATTCTCCTTGTAGTTTTTGAGAGCATCTCATGTATCGATCAGAAACGTTATCAGCATCGAGGAACGCTTTAAAATTAGCCATGGTTTAGGCTGAATTTTGTGCTTGCAAGTGTGATAGCGAACCGACGAAGCTAACAAGAACGAAGACGAACCAGCAACCAAGTCTCAGCCTTTATTTCCCAATCCTAGAAACTAATTAGAAGTGTATCGTTCAACTGGGCTCCGGCTCCATCTCTACTATTTTCTGTATCAAATGCTGCGGTGATCAAGGCAAGCCACGTAGCACTATTATATGTATTGATGGGTCCCCGGGGATTTTCTGGTTTGAAGAATTGCTATGAGTACAGTCGTCTTTATGTGCAAATCGACCTCAAATGATTTCCCTACATCCAGAATCTAGCGAGCGCGGAGAGGTTGAAGTCTTAGCTCAACCAAATTAGAAGAAGGAAAGGCTGACGCTAGAAATACACAAGTAAAAGCTCATGCCTAAATTAAAGAAGGCTTGTCATGATCTACTTTCCCGAGCACTCCCCATTTGGGTTGCCTAACTAATTCTGCTATTTATTTCTAGCAGCTCCTTCTCCGCCAGAGCTTCGAACGAAGGCGACATTACGGTCTTATGCATTTCGACAACGGCTCGTATATTATTGAAAAGCTCTTCTTTTTCACAATTCTATTATATGCTTCAGCCTTCGTCTTCGTTTCGATTTCAACGATGGTTCGAATCGAATTTCATTCTACGTAGGAGGGAACAGTGGACAAAATTCCAAAAAATGAGGACACCACTCCTACCGATCACCGAAGGACTTTCATTGTTCATGAGACCTCGAAAAGAGGCTAGCTCTCTCCTACTCGGGGTCCGACGTTCCATGCAAAGTGAAACCGTTCCTCAGTGAATAATATAAGAAATTAATCAGCAATTTAATTCTCACTTTCTAATGGGCCTTCTCTCGATTTCCGCAACTTATTCAAGCTTTCAACGGTGGAAACTTCCCTGTTTGTCTTCATGGCTCAATGAAGAAACTCAAGGGAGAACCAGCTCAAAGAAAATTAGAGCTTTTCTGATCTTGTAATGTTATGAAAAGCTTAAGAATCCCTGGATGTGAATTCTCACAATCGAGAGATTTGGAAAAGCGATAGTCGGTTCTTTCTAGCCGATGTCACATCCATTTTCACAGGCTTGAGCCTGAAACTTGGCTGTTTCTGAAAAAATTTAACCACTTCTTAGTGCGGATAGATACCGTTCGAATGCTATTTGAACGACAAGGATTCAAAAAAAACTGAAGAAATAATCTCCATGTTCGCCTTTTTGATGCCTGGAAAGAGCGGTTCTTGGTGAACACACCGAGAGAAAACATCAAACACCAGTTGGTTAGAATCGTCTCTATGACAGGATTTGCATCATGGATAACTGCGTGATCTGCCCGTATGGAAAAGTAGGAGACTGTTCACAACGAGCTGTGGTTTACCAACTTCAGTGTTTAACATGTGATGCTTGCTATATTGGAGAAACTGGAAGACAGCTACACGTTCGTGTGAAAGAACATTTAGCTAGCAACGAAGGCCTTGCTCAATTGCACCGCTTGGGAAGCACAGAAGGGAAGGTCATGCTGGTTGTGACTTTGATGTTAAGTGCACGATTTTGGCCCACGAGGACAGTATTGGTGCCAGAAAAACCCTCAAAGCTTTCTGGATAATACACCGAAATCCGGGCATGAACAACAAGAATGAGTGCATCAACATAACTGGTGACCTCTTGCCTTACATCCCTCTGTGTGAGCTTTGATAGTGAGACTGTTACGTGTCACGTCACGATCCTATAGATAGGTCGTGGTTGACCGGCTGTCTCAATTGCTCTATTGTCTCTAAAGTTGAGCAACTGTTCGGTGTTGGTGGAATTGACGTATGTGGTAGTTCAGAGCTGATCTACGTCAAGTGTGACAGGTAACACTCTAAAGTTACGATACGCTTTCAGGCCTTCGAAAAAGACGAGATTGTCGAAACGTCAAGCGACTAAAAGTATTCCACCATCGAAAACCTGTATGGCACAGAAGCATTGACTAATAATAGTACAGATGCCCAGGTTTAAAGAAAGGCAAACATGGAAGTTCATTCTATTGCTCATCTATCGTCGCGCAAACTGAGCAACTGTTCGGTATTGGTGGAATTGACGTGGGTGAAATTGTCAGAGTTTCTTATTAGTTGTAAGATCATCGGCCTGAGTTGCAACTAGTTAAGAGCTGGTCTACGTCAAGCGCGATAGGTAACACTGTAAAGTTGCGATACGCTTTCAGGCCTTAGACAACGACGAGTTAGTCGAAACGTCAGCAAATAAGATTCCACAATTAAAAACCTAGTCGGCACAGAAGCACTGGCTGTAGAAATAGTTTTGTGTAACTAACATATTATATAACTTGTATAACATATCACTGTAACACTTTCTTTTTGGCCAACAATAACGGGGAGTCAAAAGCGTGTACAACTACTTCACCTACTTCAGCATCATTGGGATTCTTCTGAACGGCCGCTTCGTAGGCTAGCATCGCGTTCCTCAGATCACCCTCTTGCATCATTCGATCACCTTCTGTCATGGGATTAGTTGAACTGAGAAATGGATTATTCGCCTGAATTATTGTCATTTTCTCAAGTGTGGGTTTCTGAAACTTGAAGATCATTTGAGATTTTCGAAGTGGAAACGGTGGTAAAATGGAAGTCGTAGATAAACATGACGAAGTTTTCCTCGCATTCGACAGCTCCCTTGAAATTCAAAGATGGTTTTTCGGTACCTGACCCTTTTTTAGTACAATAGGGTCATCCATCAAATGAAATTTTGAAATTTTTTTCACATTAGTAATGAGATATTGTCGTAATGGGTGAAAGATTTGGTTTTATCGTTGGTGTCACTAATGCAAAAGACATCAATAGCTTCTGACGAACTGACCGTTTTCCCACTCGTTCGCCCCGGACGAATTTCTCTTTTCAGATGCAGTTATGCATCTCCTGGCCTTCTTCGTCAAGTCTATGTACTATGGAATCAAGAGAGGGAACCTGCACTTGGACAAATCATGGTCAGAACCCCACTGTATTCCAGCCTTTCTACTGACTCACTACAGCTATTTCAATCCAAACTGATGAAAAAAGATGCTGACTGGTCATCAAATTGCAGGTAAATAGGGGTACATATAATATTTACAATATGTCCACGTTACACATATTAAAATTTCGCAGTATGATTGACTAAATCCAGTATGAGAGGAGTTAGGACAGAAAAGTACGAGTGAAGAAGCATTTGAAAGAATAAAATTTGGAAAATACACAAAACATACCACATACTTGTGAAACCCTTGACTCAACGGTGTGCCAAACGTTATTGGCGAATCATAGTATACCTAGCGGAATCAATTACCTGATAATCGTATGCTTCCGATTGGGTTTTGTATCCTGCTTGATCTATATTCAACTTCTGCCGAATTGACTCCCACTCGCTCTCCATCCTTTCGCCCACATTTTGTTGCTCTGTGGTGTACGCCTGTGCCCAATTCTCTGCCAATTCGTTTGCTAGTGCATGCGAAACCTGAACTGGTGCAACAGAAAACAATACTTGTGGCAAACTCTAGAAGCTTACAGGAGACGAGTGTAGAGATGTTTCTGCATTGTCCAAAAATTCCGCCGACCACATCGCACTGTCGACTGAGGTAGAGCTGCAAAACACTTGCACAAAGGGCTCAGAATTTACGTTTATTCCGTATGGTGGCATATAATTAGAGCAGTCGTGAAACAGCTTTGAAATATATTCGAAAACCATATCTACGGGCAGTATTCCTTGAGCAGCGTACACAAGTCACCTTCGGCAGACATTCGCGACATAAGCAAAAATTCAGAGCTTTGAATAGAAAACTTGTCTAGACCCCGGCAGCCGTGCGCAATAACTGTGTCTAAGTGCGGCAAACACGATGGCCCACCCTTAATATACTTTCCCTTCCCTCTTTGCTGTACATTGACTACAAAGCACCCCCCTAANCCCCCCCCCCCCCCCCACTACCCCCACTCCTTAATACGTTGCGGACTGTCAGCGGTTCTACAACCTGACAAGGCATTACCTTTGCGTCAAGGATTGATTAGATGAAGTGCTAGTTGCACCAGCCCATACATTCTCATAGGCTGGTCGAGTGGCACTGTACTGTTGAGACCATAAAGATGCCAGCTAAAGTAGATAGATGAAAAATGTTGCAACACAACGGTGAGGTGGGAGAGCGGGAATCGTTTACCTGTTGGCCTGGTCGGGTCTGGTAATCCATAGCCCAGCTGTTTGCAAGACTCGTCGATGGAGTTGATTGTTTGGGAAGCTGGGAAAGAAGTGCCTGAATCAATGCAGATCGTACGGATATGGCGTTTTCACCGTTCATTGGCCAGCTCATAAAACTTCATTAACGACTTTATTGTTCTGAAAGTTACGAACACATTACACGAAAAAGTTTTTCGCCAAGCTCATAGTATTACGTCACCTGTTGTTTTAATCGTATTTTGTGAACTGAGATCAAATCAGACCAAAAGGAGGGCATTCAACGAGCTATGGCATCTAGTTGATGGCCACTATAAACCAAGGGTCAAAATTTTTGCAATTGGCGTAGAATGAAACCGGGCATATTTGTTTTACTTCCAGAGAGTCCAAGTTCGAAAGAATGTTGATGGGAAGCTCGCTTCATTCCCTTCAATTCTAAAATGGGTCGTCTCCTACGCTGATTTGCCGTTCTAGATCCTTGAGGCTGTGGCATGGGGGAGTTCGTCTTATCAAGAATACAAGAAGCCAGGAAGGAAGTTGTGTCAGATAAAACTGTTTGAGTTGTGCTGCATATCAATTTTTCCTCAGGAGCTCTCCTCGAATTGGGCCAGCATTTGCTAAAATCACGCGTGAATCGGCACTCTAGAACTGTGAAGTGCAGGTGATGTCAGTGTCGAACAACCGTTGACTTTCATTTCTTAGACCCTCCCATTACAGCGGATAAATTTTACGATATTGACGATGGAAATTTGGAGCAAGATTACATCGAACTGCCTGGCAACTTTCTTGGTGTCATCTGCAACTCTTGTAGAACAGTAATGTGCTGATTGTGTAGCCCATATTTCCCGAGATCTTTTTTGAGTTTACAAATATCTTGTGCTTTTGTGACACTTATGAACGTCGTTATAATGTGGATATCCTTACTATGGTTGTCCGAGAAGTTTCCGCTGATTTTTGACACCCCGGATTTATCAACCGTTGTACAAAAGATCAAGGACCCAAGCTAAAAAAGCTACATGTTTTCTGAAAGAGTAGGTCCTCCTCTATATTCCTGTTGGGATTCTGTCAACATTTGTTGAAGTTTGTCTGTACAAGACTCGTATGAATATGGAGAACCACTGCGCGCATTTCCGACATCTAAAGTATTTCTTCTACCGCAAGGCCTAGAATGCGGCTCGAGCCGCGTGAAAGATATATAACGTTTGAGTAGACCATGCCCTAGAGGAATGCACAGTGCATGACTAGTTTGTGAAAGCCAAAGTGAATTTGCCTTCGAAGACCGGCATCAGTATCATCAGTTTGAACGACCAACTCAAAATGTCAACCAAAGCGAACCGGCACATCACTGCTCGTGGAGTAGGACAAGGCCGTAGTGTTTCAAGATTAACCATCCATGGTCATCTGCAGACAATTGGTTTTGTAAAGCGCCTTGATGTTTAGATATCTCGCGAACGGAGCGAGCACAATGCGATGGACCGCGCCTCCATGTGCGACTCGTTGCTCAAACGAAAAAAAATGAGCTTTTTCTGAAGCGCATGAGCACGAGAGACGAAAATTAGATTGTGTACAGCAATAAGGAGCGGAAACGATTGCGGAGCCCCCTAATGAGCCGTCACAAACCGCTATAAAAGTCAAAATCCAGGTACGGAAGACTATGCCGAAATGATAGTGGCACTAAAGGGAAATCACTTACCATGAGCTGTTGTCGCATAATCAAACGATGACTTCGGAAAGGTACTATAGTTAGCGAGAAAATATGGAGGCAGCGATAGACCAAAAGCAACCCGAAGTGGCCAATTGTGAGGGCGTAATCTTTCAACAGGGTACCTCCAAACCACACGTATTTTTGGCCACTTGTCAAAAGATGCTAAAGCTTGGGTGGGATGTCTTACCACACCCGCCATATAGTCCAGACATAGCACCATCAGAATATCGTTTGTTTAGATTTCTGCAGAATTCTTTGACTTAAAATCGTTCAATTCGCAGGAGGACTGCAAGAAGCACCTGAGAGGGTTTTTCGATTTTAAGTCTGGAACCTTCTATAGAAGAGGGCAACTGGAACCTACAGGAAGATGGCGAATCCTTACTAATAGGAATGGAGGATATATTGTTGAATCAATGGATTTCCTCTTCTAGGGATTTTCATTCAAAGATGAATCAAAAATCGGCGGGAACTTTTCGGACAACCCATTATATATAAAGCGCTTTGTCTGTCTGTATGTATGTTTGTTTGTCTGTACGGAAATTCCATATGACCTAAAGAAGCACCTGGAGAAGTCAGGTCAAGTTTGGAATGGGTTGAGCATAGGTTAAGTGCAAAAGAGCACACGTGGGCCCAGCGGAGCTCCTCCCCCAAAGGGCGGGTCATGCGCCGGGATTGGGCGGGATCATGGGCAAATTCTTCTCATTCGGTTCCATAACAGTCCGGACGCCGGGAAAAAATGTGCAAAGGGCAGGGATGGGTCAACAATTGAAATAAAGGAAACGTATCAGCGGTGGGCGAAGCGTTCTCGCAGTTGGCGGTACTTTCCACAGATTCAAAGAAGGCGTCGAGGCCAGGAAAAAAATAGAAAGAATGACCAAGTAGTTAGAGGTAATCGTACAAATGTGGGTCAAGTCCTCGAAGAGGGCTGGGTTGGCACCAAAGTGGGCGGGGCTTAGATCGAAAACTTATACCTCTATTCAGAAACGCTCTGGTATGCGGCAAAAAGGTGTTAAGGTGTTAAAGAACTCAGTAGGAGAGCCAGGGAACTCTTGATCACCTCCCATTCCTTCCCGTATGATCACGTTATGGCGCTGAAATCAAAGTTCCCTCACAAGTACCATTTCAGGCAAGACGGTGTTTATATGTTCAAAAGAGCTGTTTCCAATGAATGAGGTGACATCTTTTCGCCAGAAAAATACCAAAACGTTAAAATTTCGTTCCTTTTTGAGCAAAGCTTCCGCAACTCTCTTTTTATCGTCAAACTCATTCTACATTTCAAAATCCCTCTAATGCGAGATAGGGCTGTAAATAGTCTGCTGAGAGCAGAAGCACTTCGTAAGTGTTTTGGATACGTTCCATGATGCAGGCAGCAAAGATCCGAGCCTCTACGCGACCGCCACTCCATAAGTTAAGCACACAGGGAGGACGGTTTCCCAACTTTGTCCTCATTATTGTTAAGCAAATTTGTAGAGTGGCTCCACATCATCCAGTCGATAAAATTGAAGCAGTGCTTTCCTTGAATGGCCGCTGCAACCTAATACCCTTCCCTTGTTAGACGCTGAAAGCATGCCATTCCAGTTCTGTGAAAGACTAGAAAATGGTCAGTGGGGAGTGCGCACTATTTTGCTGGTACCGATGAGACTTTGACAGAGTTCTCTGTAAAGCGTTCAAGCTTGGGAGTAAATTGAAAACTGCCCACACAGTGCTTGCGCGCCAGCGCGAAAATTCTAAAAACTGCAATCCTAGCGCATTCGTAGAAGTACTGCCGAAAACAGTCGGATTGTAAATAACGTAATTTCTTTGGAGCTTGTCCGTTCGTTCGTTTCGGTCCTTGAGATTCAATTTCTTACATTACGAATGGCTGAATGTTCATGTTCTTCCGCTTTCATGAAAAAAAGTAAAAAAGTATATTGCGTGGAGGTAACTTTGTCATATTACCTTCACACTGAAAGTCGATGGAGCTTTTGAATTGGAGGCTTTCTCGTGTAGAAAATCATTTGCGAAGTTTTCTCCGAGAGACGATGATGGAAGTAATGCAGTTGCGCCTGAAAGATTTCGCTTTTCGTTCATGCTACTTTGACAAATATGTAGAAGAAAAACATAACAATTTAATATGGACCTACCACCTCAACGCGGTGGGTGTGTGAACGTGGGGCGTGTGGGCGT